TTAAAAAAAAAAAAAAAAAACTAGTTCCAAAGTGTTTCTGGGTCTGGAATCCAGGAAGGACAGAGCAGCTAGCCCCAAGAACCTCAGAGGCTGTTTGGAAATGCATTTGCAAGAGCCCGTGGGTGGTGCCTAGCGTTGCCGTACTGTTCCTCCTTCCACAAAGGTGTTGGAGCAGTGAGGTTAGAGCAATTGGGGAAATGGAAAAAAAAAAAAAATGGAGCCCTCCATTTGGCACTCAGCAGCTAAGCTGCACAGAGGTGGGCCTTGTAACTAGGCCACGCCTGTAGCTTGACAACTGTCTCTGTCTAGTGGATTCACTGGTACTCTTCAGGCTGGGGGACTTTCTCAAACTGTTCATATTTAGGAACTGATTTTTTTTTTTTTTTTTTTGGGTTCACATGAAGGAGAGGGGCTTCAGCTCCCAAGGCTAAGGTCTAAAGAGAGGAAGCCCCCTTTCATCTCTAAAAAGGTTCACTAAACAAAAAAAGCCTACAATAGGGGGAGCTATTTATTCTTTAAGCGTGGCCCAGGAAGGGAGTGGAAAATGCAAAAGCTTGCACTGGTGTCTGCTTCTACCAGGCCTCCCCTTGGTGTTGCCTCAGGCCCCATTTCCCTTCCCCCTGCACATCTAGTCCATCTGAACCCCACCCCACCTGCCATCCAGCCCTCATTGCCCAGCCAAAGTGTCCCCATCCTGCCTGGGCTCCCTGCCGGCAGCCTCAGCCTGTCCTGAGCCATCGTCTGTGCTGCCCACTAGGGCGGGCTGGTATCACTAGCAAATCTGCTCGGCACACCTCCCCGCTACCTCTGCTCATTAGCCACTCCCCATCACCATAGGGTCCATGGTTGGGTTTCTAGGGCTCCATGAACCCTCCGAAGCCACTGACACAGTTTTGTAAGTCAGTGCTCATGCACTTTCCTGAGGGAGTCCTGTGGCCCACCCTAAACTCCCTCACCTGGCACACAAGGCCTTTCGGACCTGGCCTATCTCTGGCCCAGGCTTGCCCACCTACCATCTAGCCCCTTGTGTTTGCTGCTCCTGCAGTGCTGACCTCTGACCCCTGAGGATCCGCAGAGCAGAAGGCCTTCTCACATCTCCGGGCCCTGCCAGGTGTCCCTCTGCCCCAGCATCCCCCTCCACCGGTTGGCCGGGCAGACTCAGGCCCTTGCTCTGCGTTCCTGCTGTCCATCAGGCTGCCTCTTCACAGCATGGCTGCACAGGCAGGAGAACTGCCCGCATGTTGACAGCAGGACCAGGACTCTGCCGCTCTGTGTTCTGGGGAGCACGGGACTTTGCAGGTGGCAGATTGTCAGCAGGGATGTGCTAAAAGAGTAAGCGGTCCTCTCAGGTTTACTGTGTGTGCTGGCCACTCTGGGCAAGTCATCCTGGTTCACACGTGAGCAATAGCCTGGCAGAGACGGGGGCTTTAACTTACTGAGGCTCCCACAGCAACGGATGGACCCAACATCAGAACCAGTGTTTGCTCTCCTACCTCACATACCTTTAAAATAAAACAGCCTTTTTTTTTTTTTCCTGACTTCAGGAATATCTGAACAAACATCAGAACTGGGTATCAGGACTGTCCCAGCACACAGGGCTGGCCATGGCCACCGAAAGCATCCTTCACTTTGCCGGCTACAACAAGCAGAACACCACTCTTGGGGTATGTGTGAGCCTCCTGGGAGCCACAGGGTGAGGGGAAAACCAAAACTGATGTGGGGCTTTTTCCGAAAGCACCTGGGCACCCATGTGCCACACACACAGCTGTGCTGGCAGTAGGCGGATCAGAGTCCCATGTACAATCCCCAAGTTCAGAGAGAGTTGGGCCGTAGAACCTTACTGTGTTTTCTTGATTCATTAATGATATCAGATTTGGATTTCTGTGTATCCACAAGGAAGGAAACTGAGCTCTGGGAGACACGGTCAGCATTATCTTATAGTAACGTCGATTGGAAACATTCGCTGGATTTTCCTGTTTCAGCAGGTGTCAAAGTGCACGTGCATACACATCTTCAGCTTCGTCTTGTTCTGCTCAGGATTCCTTTAGAGGGCAGCACATCCATGAAGTAGCACTTTCTTAGTTAAATCAGAGTTTAGGATCAAAGCAGCGGACTGACAACAGGTGATCTGACTGGCAGCATTGCATGGCGGTGTCTCCCAGCCTTAGGGCCTAGCACAGCGTCTGTCAGTCTGTCCCAGCCAAGTATGGCTGTAAGCTTCTTAACTCTGTGCCTCTTAACTCTCTCTCAGGATGGGGAGGTGGGGAGGCTGCCACCTGTCTTTTACAGACATGATAGGGCAGGGGTACAGAGGCTGAGCACCAGGGAGGGAGGATGGCCCTGTGACTTCTCACCATGGTCAGGACTCTAAGCAGGAAGCAGGGAGCCCATTAGGCAGAGGTGAGGGCCCTCAGCCTCTGTGCAGGGCCTGGGGCAGTGCCAGAGGAAGCCAATGTCTTCTCACGTCCCATGCCCTCCTTGGAGCTCTCACCAGAGGTCACTCCATGTTCTCTGAAGACATCAGTGTTGCACACCCTCAGCTGATAGGCCAGGCCCACTGGCATGAGATCAGCTCCCTGACCTGGGTCTCCACCACTTTGACGACCCAAGCAGAGGCCAGAGTTGGGGACTGCTCAGGATGCATCTGACAACTCCTGGTCCTCTTTAGGCTCCAGCCAGCTGGCTTGTAAGAGGTCAATTTTGCCTAAAAGATTTAAATCTTTTTCTTTAAAAAAGAGATTTAGGTTTGGTTTTCCCTTTTCTGTTTCTGAAGAAGAAAGGATGTATTTATTGGTGTCTTCTGACTGTTGGTTGTACTGGAGATCCTGGCCAGCTGCCCCTGTTCCATGAAAAGCACAGAAGCGTGCTGGCCCCCAGAGTGACATCTCCCCATCACATGGCACTCAGGAAAGCGCCGCTCCTGGGGGGCTGTTTCAGAAGCGTGATTTCAGGCTGGTGGGTCGTGCTGCATCGAGACTATCAGAAAAGCCCTGCAGGGCAGTCCTCCATGTCACAGTGCACCAGGCACGTGAGCCGGAGCAGTCAGAGTAGTTATCCAGGGGACAGAGGTGGCCTGCACTACGGCCTGCCAATGCATTTGCTGCCCGAGGATCCTGCAGACATCACTGAACCCCATTCTGCCTGGTGAGAAGGCCACTGTTGTCCCCATTTTGCTGGGGAGTATATTCAGGCTAAGGGACAGCAAGTGACCTCTCTAGGGCCTCATAGCTGGTTGGTGGCAGGGCCAGGTTCCAGTGCAGTCCTGCTTGATGCCATAGGCCACACAGTCTCCAAAAAACATAAAGCAGTTTTACGTGACCTTTTGAAAAGTAAGCCAGCTTAATAATTTTATGAGAAAATCATGTATTTTTGTTCTTGCCTATGGTTTTTTCCCCAAATTTCATATTTTCTTCCCCCGACCCTCTCTCTCCCCACTCACCTGCTCCCTCCCCGCCCCAAAAAAAAACAATCCCTCAGACTTCAGCCGTTGATTCATTTTTCCCAGTAGCATCCATATGTCAAGAAGTGGATAGGTTGTCTTGGTTTATAGTAAAAGATGCTGAAGGGAAATGTGAAAGGGGTCATGCTCGCTGCATATTCATAGTCTTCGGTGACACTGGGCAGCGTGATAGCTAGAGAGCATGGTAGCAGTGACCAGCCAGGGTTAGGGAGAGCAGTCCTCACGACCCTGAGGGATGGGAGGTGGGCTGGGGGGCTGAAGCTGAAGCAGAGGAAATTAGGGGGGTGTGGTCTGCAAAGACTTTCCCCTTTCTGTGGGCCGCCTTTGTACTCAAGAGTGCGCCCCTTTTGTCTTCTGCCACTAGACCCGCATTAGACCTGTGGCAGCTATTAGGTGTCTCTGAGCCCCTCCTGGCTTTTGCTCGCTCTGACACCATGCTCTCAACCTCGCCCTTTACCATCTTCAAGTCACATTTACACACCAGCCCAGACCCGCAGAGGAGACAGCCCAGCACAGCATTTTCATTGTAGATTATGATGATTTTCACAATGATCTGGTGATTATATCTTTTGCAAAGGTCTGTTCACCACTGGGGATAAAAACAATCAGCAGCAAATTGAAGGTATATCATAAGCTGCCTTCCAGAGAAAATTTTTCATACTAAGATTCTTTTTCATCTTTTTTCCCTGGGACATATCAGACTAGAGGCTGTTCTAAAGTATTTTGTTTTATTAGCTTGCCAGCACTGAAGATTTCTAATAACCCCTGGATCTGAACTTGACTTCTTAATTGGACTTAGGCTTAGCCATGGTGAACATGAGAAAAACATGTGGCAATGGCCTGAAATAATTCTTGATACTTGCCTGTAGGCAACTCAGCTAACGGAGCGCCCAGCCTGTGTGAAGAAAGATTACTCCAACTTCATGGCGTCTCTCAATCTACGCAACCGCTACGCAGGCGAGGTACTTCTCCTGCCCTTGTGTCCCGGGGTCATCGAGGTGTCCTCTTGCTCCGATGCCAGTCAGCTCCCTCCCAGTGGAAAACGCACTCGGGTCTGGAACTCACTCATTTTAGGTGGACTTGAAGGCATGAGCCCTGGGACTCACCAACACAGTCTGGAGCATTTATGGCAGCCACTCACCACCTCTGCAGGAGGGCGATTGCACATACACACAGTCTGGCCCTGCTGAAGCATTCTGTCTCTCTGACTTTTTTTGTTTTTTGTTTTTGTTTTTTTTTTTTTAAGTGGTAGCAAACATTTGTTGAGTGCCGTGCACTGTCTGGGATGGTTGATGAGGTGTATGTACTATTATTCCAACTTTACAGAAAATGAAATTGAGACTCTTGAAATAAAGTAACCTGCCAGAGTCACATAGGCAGAGCAGGGGGTGGGAACCACATCTCACCATGAGGGCTTTCGCCTTCCATGCCGCACTTTAGCCCAGCCTGGCAAGTTGCTTCACCTCTTGGGGCCTCAGTTTCTGAATCGATAAAACGCAGAAGCTCATCTACGCCATTGCAGAGGTCCCTGCAAGTCCATCCGTGCCTAGTCTGAGTGGGGTCTCCCCTCCCCCCGTGCGACTTCCTCATTCTAGCAGTTGCTCTTCCTCTTCCTGTGGGCCCCCGGCAGGGGGGCCCCTCACACTGCTAGGCTGCCACTGACCCTAGGCTGTCATTGACCCTACATTCCTAGAGCTGAGAATTGCTCTGAGGGCCTATTCCACCTATTTTGAATATCCCCGTGGTGATAGGAAGTGTGTCTTTGGCAGTAGGTTTGGTTTTGGAAGGAGTCAGATCCTTTTTATATAGTCAAGTCTGGTAAATAAGAGAGCAGCGTGCTTTTGTTGGAGGCAAAAAGTTATGTACAGCTTTAAAAATAGTGAGGCTGATCTCGTTGGAGTCATTAATTGACTCTGAAAGAATGTATTGAATCAGTCCACATCATGCAGTCCTACTGTGGTTCTGACCCTGGACTCAGTGCTAAAATGTAAAATTGACAAGACCAGGTCTCTGCCTTCAAGGACCATCTAGAATGAAGGGAATGCCAACATATATTGCTAAAAGAGAAGTTCCCCCAAAGTGTGAGCAGTGGTAACATCATTGAAATGGCCCTGTCACTCTCTATACACACAAGCTGTAGTTTAAGACAGTGGGGCTCTGGTCAGGCCTTGTCTGTGTGCCTGGATTATGTGTGACTCTCTTGACAAGTGTGCTTCTTGCAGGTGTATGGAATGATTCGGTTCTCAGATGCCACAGGCCAGATATCTGACCTGAACAAAATGATGGTCCAGGAGCTGAATACAGCGTTAGACCTCAGTAATCCTCAGCACTACACACAGGCCATGTTCAAGCTGACAGCAATGCTCATCAGCAGCAAAGGTAATGGACAGAGGTACTGGGGAGCTCTGGGCTTGTTTGAAAATGAGTGTTTACCTTTGTTTTCCTTAGTGAGCTGGGGCTCCCCCAGTAGAGATCTCTGTGGTGTCTCTCAGGGGTAGAAGTAAACAAAAGACCATCACTGGCCCACCTGGTGCTCTGTCTTGTTGACTTGGGGAGGCAAGCAAAGGGTTCAGGCCATGTTCAGTGCTTTCTCTGAACAGTGTGTGTTTGGTTGCAGATTGTGACCCACAGCTCCTTCATCATCTGTGTTGGGGTCCTCTCCGGATGTTCAACGAGCATGGCATGGAGACCGCCCTGGCCTGCTGGGAGTGGCTGCTGGCTGGCAAGAACGGAGTGGAAGTACCGGTAGGATACCTGCTGTGTTCAGCACCTGAGGGTGGGGCTGGTGAGAGATGGAGAGAGCTTGACCTGGCTGCTCAGCTGACACGCTTGGAAACCCCAGGCAAGCCCCTTACCCTCTGGGCCCCCTCAGTCTCCTTATCTGTAAGATTGTGATATTAATGCCTGACCACCGGGCTATCTCGCTGACAACAGGGAATATATGTTAAAAGGATCCTAGTGGCTCCTAGAAGTTGTTGTTTCTCAAAAGCTCAGTAGAGGGAGCCATTTCCCTGAGAGTGGAACACATGGGATGTGATTGGGAGAGGTGGTAGTTGTCTACAAAGCCGTTTCTCTTGGCCTGCTAACTTTGGAAGGGGCAGTCTTCCTGGTATCCATATTTTTTTAAGTTGCTACTGGAGGAAGCCCTGAGGCAAGGTCATATACGCCCTTTCAGCTGATTGGATGAATATCTAAGGACTGTTATATTTTTTCAAAGATCTTGTTAATTTTCGTAACAACAGGGAATTTGGCATTTTTTTCCTGTGTTTCTTTTTTTTTTTTTAAAGATTTTATTTATTTATTCATGAGAGACAGAGAGAGAGACAGAGGCAGAGGGAGAAGCAGGCTCCCCGCAGAGCGGGGAGCCCGATGCGGGACTCAACCCCAGGACCCTGGGATCATGACCTGAGCCGAAGGCAGACGCTTAACCGACTGAGCCACCCAGGCGTCCCTTTTTTCTGTGTTTCTTAAGATGACTTGAGATAAGTGGTCAAAAGGGGTGTTTTCTTTTCTTGTTTCCTGAGGAAAATGGAATATTTCTGAAGAAGGAATTAGAATGTTCCAGGCAGGTGCTGGTGGTGACAGTAATCATCATACCTCACATTTGCCTGGGATGTTATAACTGCATGGAGTTTGTGTTGGGCACACCATTCAGTTTGGGGAAATGTTTTGGTCCAGTTGGCTTCCATGGGAGATTACCTGGTTAGGAAGAGGCACTGATGGCAGCCTGTAAGGAGAGGGAGTCACCTGGGGCCCTGGGCTCACCGGTGGCTCCTGGACCCTTTCTCTGTGGAACTAAAGTAGGCACTGGGTTCTCAGCCTGGCCAGCTCTGCTTGCATCAGGGAGCATGCAGAATGGCCTATGAGAGTCCTGTTGCCCCCTGCAGGGGCTCTGACTGCAGGGCAATGCTCCTCATCTGTATAATGAGAATAATAGCACGGACACCTATGACATAGAGTTGCTGTGGAGATTGAATGGCTTAATTCACCTCACGGGCCAGGAACAGTGCCCAGAACATAGCAGTCTATTAGTAAATACTAACTGCTGTTTGTGGTGGTGGCTGTTGTCATTGTCAGGTGGAGGATTCTGCATTGACAGCGATCTGCCATTGTTGTCATATACACCCATGTGCCCCCCCCCGCTTTTTGGTTTTCATCTATTTTACTGCTGCATATGTTATGTGCCTTATAAAAGTGTTATTTTTGTTCTAAAAGTCAAAAGCTAGGGGACCTGGGTGGCTCAATCAGTTGAGCATCTGACTTCGGCTCAAGTCTTGATCTTGGGGTCCTGGGATCGAGCCCCATCTCGGGCTCCTCACTTCGAGGGGAGTCTGCTTGTCCCTCTCCCTCTCCTTCTCCCTCTGCCCCTCCCTTGCTCATGCTCTCTCTGTCTGTCAAATAAGTAAATAAAATCTTTAAAAATAATATTAAGGGGCGCCTGGGTGGCTCAGTCGTTAAGCGTCTGCCTTCGGCTCAGGTCATGATCCCAGGG